ATAATGTAACACGAAACAACATATCAAAACACAACATAACTTATGCAATTGAGAGTAGTATGTGTTAATTCACGGACTCGATTATCAGACGATGACAGGACAGATGATACATTACAGATCGATACGAACTATGTTATTATTGTGATCTTTCTTGCACTTTGGATATACATTCATTTAGTTAAAGCGCGGTGGTCGTCGAGCAGCGCGTGTTAGAATTTCATGTATAAAACAATGCATTTTACACGCGTTGTATACATCGCTATGAATCCCATATCGAACTGGACACGGCAAGACGACCACCGCCCTTTAACATTTCAAAGATCGTAAATCCTCATTGAAAAAAAAGAAAAGTATTGTTTTAGTTTAGTTACGGGGGAATTATTGTTCTTAGTTTTATGTCCGAAAAAAAAGTCCTGTCAACCTCAATAATTAGATGGCCTCGACAACAGTTTCCATTGGAACATTCCACCTGTATTTGCTTTGATTTAATAATGTCAGTTGTGAAAAGCCGGTGCTCAAGAGACAATGTTGGGGAGGAACCGTTACAGCAATATAGATAACGGTTTTCATTGGCATTTCTTCGTCATTTTCGAAGTACGTGTACCCTATAAACAATTGCTTACATACATTAAAATTATAGTGAAATGTATTTTCATTAATTGCAGATCGATAAATGGGTAATGATGAGACGGTACGTGTTGTTATTAGAAAGTAGACGTAATCCATTCCCTAATATGGATTCTACATTGCATATACCTTGTGGTGAGCATATTTATTTAATCTAGTATACCAATAATGCTATAATTCACAGACACTTGACTATTCTGATGTGACGGCTTGGGATTTTTTAGAAGAAATACATTTTCGCGACGAGAATACTGCTGTTGAAGAGCTGTACAGAGATGTGACGACTGTGTAACATCTTGAAATTGACCTACTTTAGGAAAAATACATCAGACAATAGCCGTTAAAATCGCTAAAACGTGTGCTCCAAGCCTTAAAACTGATTTAGCGAAAAATTTAACTTATCTTGACAATATAACTAATATTAAAAAAGGGATGAATGTCTGAAGGCACTTTGTGACCACCCCCTCTCCCCGACACACATACACAACTCCGGCAGAGTGTATACGGACATACGATAACATTTATCTGCCTTAGCAGGCAGGATATAGCGACATGTTTCTGTACCGGTACTATCAGTTCACTGTAATACACACACACGAGAGTAAATGCAACATATTGCTCAATGTTCTAAAATAATACCTCAAATATGAAATTTATGATCACGCAGAGAAATGAAGTATTTTTTCAAGCCGATGATATTGAACTTTTTCCGCTTACTCAATGATGCTATCCATCACGGTTACTACTGGTAGTAACCGTGTATCCATTGAGAGTATTTACTGTCAGTGTCAAGAGAATAAGTTTAACCTACCTGTAGAGGGCGATATTTACAAAAACACTGGATTTTCAATTCATATGTTTTCTTTTTCTATACATACTTTAAAGTAGCAACAATCCATTAGATTATTTGCTAGCGTCTTACCTGTTTTTTTTTAAGAAGTTAATTTCAGCCATGCAATCTTCACATGATTAAAAAAATGTTTAAGATAACATAATCAAAATTTCATGTGGAAAAAAAACTAAACATTTTTTGAATCATACCTAATTAGTAGAGGTGGCTTGGGTGAAACAGGGAAAAAAGACTATATTGCAGACATTATAGAAGAGTCTCTTGGAAAAATGAGACTGATACCAGCAAAAAGGTTGGGGTCTATGTACTAATTTTATACTTATTTGAATTACATTCACAGATCCTATGGAATGGAGTCCAGAGCATGTGACTATATGGTTAGACTACATGGCAAGACGATACAACATACAACATATACCATACGAGTCATTTCAAATGAATGGTAAAGGGTTGTGTATCATGCCAAAGCCAGGGTTCCTACGCAGAGTACCACGTAAAGGACATTTGATGCATCATGATCTTTACCAGAGAATCAAACAAAGCCGCTTTGGCATTGATCTGAAGAAACAACATGTACCACTGAACTTGAAACTGCCTAGCAAGTCTGTAACATCCACTGCTATTGGGAAAGCGAACAGTGACTTGTGCAGAGATAAACTTAACTAGAAACTGGTGTTATTATCCATATTAAAGGATAATCAATTGAAAAGGACATGTTAATCAAATTAACAATCAGACCCGGTAGAGTGAAGAACAGTATGAAGATATTCTATTCTACAACCAACCTTGTGCAGGGGACATTTTACTATAATTCTGAGGATTCAGACATACCCCTCCCCACCCCGCCCGATAGTATTTGTGCATGACATGCTCCTTGAGGGGTTAATATATTAGATTTTTTTTTCATATAACTTTTCTTTTTTACAAAGCATCTAAAGAAAATAGCATTGCATAGCTGATAGTGTATTTTCTGATATTATTACCATGTAGCATTTAAAAAAAAAACTTTTATTGACTGTTACTGCCCTTTACGTAAGAAGATGCTGATATAGTGTACGCAAATTTTAAAAAGAAATATGCAAACTATTCTGAAATTGATGCGCGAGGTACATGATATATGTATCCAGGTGGTCAACGAACATTGCTGCCACAGCATTTTGGATGTCTTGACACTCACCATTTAACTTAACGGAGAAGACCAAGCAATCAACATAATGCTACCAGAAAAAGGAGCTTCAAAAATAAAAGAGAATACAATTTACACAATCTCTTGCTGGAAAATCAAAATGGTGGACTACACAAATTTGGATATCCAGAGTTTGAAAAGTGATATAAAGAAACTGCAAGCTGCATTCTCCTACATTTGTTGAACGCTGTCATCTGGGAACATCATGCTGTTTGCCTCATCTTCTCCTTTAACATAAATAGATTTTTAACAGAAAAACGAAAATGTACAGATGTGTGTTTTATTATTCAGGGTCAATATTATTTTAAATAATTTAGCTACCCTGTAAATCGATATATAGCTAATTTAATAAAAAACTATTCTTACAATGAGACTTGTACTAAATTATGATTCTGAAAATTAAGCCAAATTCACTAAAATATCATGTGACCATTTAAGTATGTGCATCATAATGATGTATATTGACTTTAATATTAAGATACAGGATCATATAATCATTTAAACTTTTCTAGCTATATTCAACCACAGGCAAAATTGATTGAAAATATAATATTGAATGGAAAGTCCAAGCTAACAGCACGATGCTCCCAGATGAAGGAGCGTCACAAATGCAGAGAAATATTATTATTCGTTCTACAGTATAAATATAAAATTTTTTAATTGGTATACATTGTCTACCATATCGATTTCCAAGAATTGTTGATAACATTACAATATATTTGGCAAAAAATTAAGAAACTGATTTCCTTCATAACTTGAAAAATACTGATGCCAATTAGTTCAAATTGTCAGCATGAATGTTATTAGTGTATACAATTATGATAATGGAAGAATAGACTGAGAATGTTGCAAAGTAAAGATAGTGAAATAAATAAAAAATGATTATTTTAATCGTTGAATATAGAATGACACCTTATCAGATTATATATATATAATCCTTATAAGCTACTATCATTGATGAATTGTGTAAAACATTGAAGCATTTGCTAGAAATAAGTAAAAATGCAACAAATAATATTTTCAAATTTGTTGCCATCACAATCATTTTATATGTATGGTTGGCACTAGTAAGCCACCATGTAGAAAACTATCAGTCAATTTGAAGCCCTAATTTAGAAGTTATAGATGAAATCATTTCTTCAATTTTATCATTTCCTAGAGAATTAAGATTGTGGACTACATATACTGATGAAAAGTTGAATATCTAGAGAATGAAAAATGATACAAAAAAACTGTAAATTGCATTACTCAGATTTTGTAGAGCTCTTGCATCTGGGATGACTATGTTGTTAGCGTAGACTTACACTTTAAGAGCACATTTCTTTTACGATTCTGAAGTTGTACATTCTTTTTATCTAGCGTCTTTGGTTTATAGCTGGATTAATAATTACATTATAGAGCTCTCCAATCTCTATACATTATTATATTACACATTTTATGTTTTCTCATATATTTTTCTAATTCATACTTTTCTGTGAATAAAGAAGCATGACATTCTTATTTTTAGATGGGTACAACTGATAAATTTACACAAGTATTCAAAGTATGCTATGTTTAAAGCATTGCATAAAGCATATGCTGGGCAAATCCATTTAGTCTCCCTTCCAATACAAATAGCGAATGGATAAATAGCTGTAAATTCCAAACGTATGGAAAAGTGTCACATGTTGGCCTACTACTGTCTAAATCTAGCCGCCAACTCCAGAACTTAGTGAACCCTCAGCCTAGTGACATTCATACAATCCACAGACCTTAGGTTTTTAAATTTGCAATTACTATATTTGCTCTAGTAACAGTAGTGTAAATGAATGATTACCTCAGCTGCCTTAGTCTGTTTTCTTCGCTTTGTTACTGACTCCAGAACATTTGCTATACAGTTCCTGTTCCACCCACTATAAATTTGCATATCTTGAACTTTAGCCTTTGAAAAAACACCCAATCATGTAAGATATGTTAGTACCAAAGGTCAGCCACTTGAACAATTGATGTTACATTTTCAAAGTCAGAATGTACAATTACTGTAGTTGTGTTGAGATGGTTGACATCTTTTTGAGTAAAATATCATTCACTGTTACCTTTATCAGCGATGGGAAGTTCTCTTGTCGGGAGACGAATAGATTGGGTAAGCGGTCTTTTGTTGGAGATGACTATAGCCATATATGTTTATGCAGCTTGCGTGTATCCTGTATAAATGTATTTAAATCATCAAAACATGTATACTGAACCAACAGCTCTTTTGGCTTAAATATTGGCATTTTTCGCAAAAAAATCGTATATTCTGGAGTCTATTTTCTAGTGACGAAGCAAAGAAAAGAGATGGAGGCAGTTGGGGTGCCTTGTAGCTACCAAACCAATCAATATTTATTTGAATTTGTAACGGTCTGGAACATTAAAATAAATTCTAATAAATGGGATGAGTCATCTCAGTAAAAATATACATATTTATTGTGAAACATTTTAATAGAGATTTGGCAGCTTTCATAATCACCTTATTATCAAATGATTACAGCAACAAAGCAATCACTCTTACTCAGTGCTCTAATGTACAGGTTACCTTTCCAAATATCTCCACCCAGTCTAGACTACTATTGATGACATACACTTGTATTGTGAAGTAGTTTCACCCATGTCATATGTGGTAGCAATTCTCGTCTACGCCTTAGACTGACTCGTAACCCATAGTCGAGCTCCGGAGTATCATCTACAAGTATCCGTACAGTTCTATTTGGTGTTGTTAGTTCATCCAAAGTCTCTCTTTGGGGTGTGTGCATCAAAGACGAGAAGTCATTCGCTCCAAACGTTAATTTATGCATGTTTCTTTCCACTAATCTCCGTGATCTCCTGCGTGGAGTGTCAAAATTGGGCATTTCTGCTTCACGTGTCACCTTTCTTGATTTCTTCTGTATTTCTCTCATTTCCAAAATAATATCGTCATCAGTTTGGCAAAGAATAGGGATAGTTCGATCTGAATTCCAATTATGATCTGTGAGGGCAGCCTACATAGAAATAACAAGTTACCGGTATACTAAATTTGAATAATAAACATTGTTATACATTAATAATAATAGTGAATTATTGCATAATTCAGCATATAGTTCCTTGACCTTAATGTCTGTTTACCGGTAATCTGCGAGTTTATTGCGTTCTATTTCAAACTTTTTCAAAACGCATACTGATCAGACAACATCTGTACGTCATTGCATATAGAAATGCATAATTTTACTAAAAACTGATTTACTGATTTTTTTTTCATTGCTTATGAATTATTAATTTACACAAGAAAAATTAATCTTTCAGCTAAACCACATCATGCAACTGGCCCTTGATTTAATTGGTAGTTTGACGGTGTACTGAAGGACAGTTTATAATCCTTTCAGCACAGTGTCATTTGATTCAAACTTTCTGTTATTCATTTATGTCACAGAATGATTCTTAGAAGCAGTGTATTTGGGGTCCTGCTATACAGGCAGCAAACTCATCTCTGATCAGCCTTATCATAAATTAAATATGTCATTTTAACTTCATCGCTAAATATTTTCATCTAAGCATACAAAATGTTGGTAAAACTGGATCAACTTACTATTGCATTAGGACTTGTTCTTGTTCCATCTCTGTTTCTGACGCATTTATCAATCATACCGATTTCACTGTTTGTTTCAGGATTCTCTGCAACTTGTCCATTATTGTCAGAGATATGTTCTGGAGTGTTAAACTGACAGTCAAGACTTGGAGTTATCTGATCAGCCTTGACTGGAGAGTTACATTTCAATCTTGTAAACAATGCCTTGGTACTGTCACTTTCATTTCCGCAAAGCATAATGTCACCTTCGGCATCCAGTTCAAAACTCTCTGTTTCACTTTCAGACTCATCCTGTAACGGATTTTGATCAATAAATGGCAATGGGCGATACTTTTCTAACACTTTCTTTGATGTTTTATTTTCTTTGATGGATGCATTTTTAGACCTTGATAGATGCCCTGACGTCAAAGTTTGGTTTGATTGAATTTGACACTTCCTTCTTTTTGTCTTTCTTGGTTGTGAACACTGGTTCATCCTACTGAACTGAGGTGAAACCTAGATAATTGGAAAATGAAAAGAAATCAAGGAACATTGTCAGTAAACTCAAGATATTCAAGTCCAAATATTTTTACAAGAGGCAAAAATTTCATTGTATGACCTGATTTCTGGTAGTGAATCATTATGTAAGACAAAAAACACAAGAACATGAAATAAATTATTTCATGGAACTTTTCACTTTCAAATAACAATAATTTGCAAGGTACTCGCTAGTTACTATATGGAAAGAAAACTAACAATTCTAGTGACAGTTGATGTCACTGTCAAGTTTAGCTTATCAATTATTAGGTTGTCATTACTATACATATGACATTTTCCTATGTAGAATATCAAAAAGCTTTTTAGTACAAAACACACTTTTTTATTTTATTTATTACGCAGATCATACCTATCAAAAGATTTGGAAAAAAATATTATCAATACACAAATATATATTGATATCAATATTACATTTAAACTTTTGAAATTACCAGTTGCACGAGTCCATCAAGTCTATTGTCGGACACAAAGTTTTGTAAGGGGGTCGCCTAGTTGTCCATCAACTTTTTTGAGCAGTACTGGTAGGTTATTTAATAAGTGTCAATAAGTTAATAAATGATCTACTAGTAGTAAACTTGTTTTGCTTGTTTTTCCTTTGTATTCTGTTGTTTCGTTTCTGAAAAAAGTTTCTGTGTGCCCTTATGCAGTAATAGTGATGATCTAAAACATCATGTGTGCACTCTTTGAGATGGAAATGTTTTGAAGTATACTAACAGTGGTTCTCATTGGCAATACAGTTTCCAGTTATCCGACGTCATCCTGCAGCTTTACTATGCGCGTCTGGCAACTAAAATAATAATTATGCGTGGGTGGTGACTCAAACATTTGAGGATGTACACGGTGAGATTTAATGTGGTTACGCACCGTTTGACGACACCTTAAATAGTACATGTATATCATTTTATTTTTTTAATACAACCACAAAGTAAGAAGCCAAAAGTTGATTCAATGAGTAAGACAAAAATAAGCTGGCTGCCCGACTTTTGATGGATTAAAAGTCAATCAGCATTCTGAGGCAATTTACTGCAAGTTACGGTGTCCTTGCTGTCAAATGAAAGTGTAGGAATAAATACTAGAGATATGGGCAAAACAAGTTTGTTACTGGCAGTACTCATCTCAAGAGAGAAAGGCTCAAAAGGAAAAAGAAGCTCTAAATTTCCAGAAAAAAAATAGATGAAACCCCTGCAAAGAAAATTAGTCAGCATCTCAATAACAATACAGTTGATACTTTGAATTGGAGCATGAAATGCTGTTGATTTATTAATACAACTAAAACTATCAATGTGAAACTATCAGCAATATTGCAATTCCAAAATGTTTTCGTTTGGAAACATAAGGGCGATAAGACTTGATTTTTGACACAGGACATTTGAATCGAATGGTTTCTTTTGTTTTAGTGCAGAAACATTGCAACATTGTTTTTTGGTGAATATAAAATGTTTTCTGTACCAACAACAGATTTTGTTATGCCAATCGAACAATTTCAACAATTCCTTACTGGAACGTCTCCTGTACAAAACAGTCTTCAACTTTTCAAAATTTCACAATGGTACCGGTACTAGCCCAAAATCAACTTCACGTTCAGTGTGACTATGGTTGTAGCAATTTTCACACCACTGTACAAAAAGATGCACATTTACAAATTCACTCGAGTGTACAAGGATAGTGGAAATAGATGGAAACACAAAACGGGTACATCACTCAAGAAAATTGATGATTTGATTGCTGGCTGGGATATCACTGTTGTGGATGGCAACAGCTTACAGAATGTTGTAGTTTGTGCGACTCTCTTGGCACGGTCAACTGACTTTTAGCTTTCTTTTTTTACTATTCTGATGTGTTCTTGGTCTCATTTTGTATATACATGTACCAGTCAGGCACTGACAAGTAAGTAAGTAGGTCCAGGACGTAGTCAACATGGGACTCTGAATCACAAATACAATGTACATGCACACCACAAAGAAAGAGCCAACTTGCAGCATTAATGAACAAAATTCACATTTATGCTGGAGAGAAACAGTATACATATGTACAAGTTTACTTCAAAGTGGAAATAATATACCTATTTTTCTATTGTTGGAAGGTCGGCAAGTGGTATTTCCATAAGCTGTAATCATTTTATTTATTTTCGTAATTTAAATGTTCTAAAAATGTAATCAGCTTATATAATTTTATTTTTCCCTAATTTGTACAAAGATCTTATTTTTTGTAAGCGCATAAAGCATTTTTCACAGTAAATGTTGTAATTCGTATGCAATTTCCAATTTTTATTCTTAAACACGAAATATCAAATATTTTATAAAAATGCAATTAGGTATTTGCTATATCTGTAAAGTGTAAAAACCCATTTTTGACTGTAAATTGAACTTTTGTTTTATTTACTGTAAAAACCTAAAATGCTTTTTTTATTCCGGTAACCTTTCCAACTTGAAGAAAACAAAACAAACGACTGACAAAAAATGATGTGTATGATGTAGACAAATCAGTAAGAAAAAGATACTATGGAACCCATGGTATACGTAAAAATGTAAGTATAAAATTAATGTCAGTGAGTAAAATATTAAAAAAACAAACAAAAAAAACCTGCAGCCCACCTTGACAAATTGATAACCCCTAATATTGCTAAACCGCAAAAACTTTAAATTTCATATATTGGGATAAAGAAAAAAAAAAGGATTTTTGCATGAAGTTACATGGATAGAAAAAATGCATTACTATGGCAATGGAAAAAATGGTTATATTTATTAATTTATATATATTTTCGTAAATATCTCTGACTGCGAAAGACATGCATCACATGTAATAAGATAAACGTTTATGGTTGTAAGTATTTACTATATTTCTATGTAAAACATTATAAAGCTATTCTATAAAATCAAAACGATTCATTGGTGGTAATATTTCCACAGTGAATGCGCCGACGTCGTGTTGGACTTTAGCGATACGTGATTTTACGTCTTTGGTTGTCACCATGTCATTATTTCTTGTGTAAAAAATCAGTTCAGAGGTTAGCAGTTGTATATTTTGATGATTGGATCTAACAACATACTTTGAGTTATTATTTTTTGGAAAACAAGTTATTATTATCCGTTTTGTGATGTAATGTACCTTTTGGGTCCTACTAATTACTGCAGTAATTTTAGGCAGTTTTGCGTGGTAGATCTACAAAACTCTACCGCCGTAGCGTAGGGTCGAACATCTCGCTCAATCATTAATAATAGCTTACCCATTCAACCGATGTTTCCTCGTCCAGATGCCTAACATCAGCTGTTGGCGGGTTTCTGGCATTCATTATCGGCGACACATACGCCCTTGGTAAATTCATCGGACTTTCAACAAAAGAAAGTTTCGATTTCTGATTACACGACTTTTTTCTTCGTCTCGGCATTTTGCTTCCTTGTGTTTTCAAAGGAAATTTAAAAATCCCTCTGTGTTGTACTTTTTTTTAAGGTCACAGGTCAACTCATCGAAGGACTGTTCAATTAGTATAACAGCGATTCCGATTGGTCAATAACACAACAAAGTGAATATGAACAAGAGGTTTATATGGCACAATTAGTCAGATTTATGCCACTTTTGCAGATGAAATTATTAGCTACTCTCTAGAAAATACAACATCAGCCTTTTACACATCAAAGTCTGCCATGATAACAGTGAAATAGCATTAAATTAAATCTTTTATTTCAGCCAATGCCAGCTCGTGTACCAAATTGTTTTCACACCCATTGTAAATCTCGCGAGATCTTCTAACGGAGTCAAAATACCGCACGATGATTGGCTGGCGTAAACGAGATCTTAATTTAAAAACTCGACCTCCGCGTATTTTCAAAGTGTACATCCATGCCTGGCCGCGTCTTGTTGTTCTATTTCGAATTTGACGCTTATCTTGGCTAAAATAAGCCCATGCTGGATAAGGCAAGACCCATGACGGTAAGTTAATGAATTTAAGCCTATTTATCAAATATTTTCCTCTCTGATTAAAACAAATCGCCGCGACCACGACCAAAACAAAAGCGTCTCGTTTAAATCCAAGTTTACTTTTTCATTATTTATAGTTTACTATCAGTACTAAATATTTGTAAACAAACCCAGTGTGTGAAAAACAAATTCACGTGTCGGTAAAAAGGACCTCCTGCTCAAATTATCAGTGAACTGACAGGTACAATATATTTAATTATGCTAATTAATATTAATTGTTTTGTATATTGGTACAGTATTTAGAAAATTATTTTATGTAAGGCCAGACTTTTTTTATTGCTTGTTTCTCAAGTTTTTATAAGGCAATTTTTTTGAGGAGGGCAGAAAAAAAAAAATTCTTTTTTCCATTAGATTTGTGTGATTCTCAAAGAATTGTAAGTGAGATCATTGATCAGAGAGAAGAAATGAAATAAAATTTTATTCCATGTATAACCTTGTTTCTCATCTGCGCGAGACTTCGGTACTTTGATCATGATACTCCCCGAAAATGCAACTTGGATTTGTTATGCGGCGGGCGGTAAAAAATAAAGATAAAAATAATATTTTTTTAGCATTGTTTGCGCTTACAAGTCGGCGGGCTCAAGAAATTAGGCTGAAATAAAATTTTATTTTTATTTCATTTTCAGCTCCTGTTCATTCGGCGGGTTCGCAAAACAAGGGTTAATAAAAGTCTGGCCTAATATGCCACTATACAAAGCTGCAGCCTATAGGTTTATTTAAATAATAAAGCTTTCAAATAAATTAAATTTGATAGAAAACATCATTATTTGTAATATTGAATTGACAGGTACTTTTCATGTCTAAGACATATCCCAAAATTGTCATTATTTTTAGTGGGCTTTTAGGATGAAATGCACTTTGTTGGTACTTAATGTCAAAGTGTAGTCTATAAACCGCTGTTAAATTGCTATTTTCTGTATATTATTGAGAGTTGTTCTTAAAATACAGAGACAGTTGTTCTGAATAAAAAAGTCCTTGTATATTATATTATATTCTACTGAAACCATTAATTGTAGACATACAAAATATCATTACTCCTGTATGTATGTATAGATATAAATAGTTGTAGGCATAATGGTCTTTTTTGCCAATTACCAATCTGTTTTGCCATTTGGCAGATGATATTGTTTGTGAAAGATACATAATATTTACCAAATCATTAGTAATATGAAATATAGTACAAAGACTTATGATAAAAAATGTGTTGATCATGTCTGCATGTGCATTTCTGTGGGTGTCAGAAATATTTAAATAATAATTTTCTTTTTTTTACCCAGATTGACCTAAAAATACCATTAATGGTGTGATGAAACTATTGAGAAAAACCTAAAAAGACAAGATTCATACTGAAATAATGGATAAATATAATCCAAGGAAATCTCGGGATCAGACAGACGGAGGACGAATTTTCCTAAATCATGACCTCACTTTTAAAACATGTGGAAGTGAAGACAATGTGAAATCACTAATTGACAGGATGAGTAATCAGAAACATTCAAGAAAGGTTATCATTCTTCGTCATCCAAAACCCAAGAGCACCTTGTCTGAAGAACCCCCAAACAAACAAGTCACCAGTAATGTCACAGGCATGTCCACAGTGTTGTCTAGTACATTCAAGTCCACAGAAAGCAGGAATACTGCAACTACTCTACAAAGTGTTCAACGGAATTCATTGCATGATACAATGTTGAATAATCTGCAAAGCCGTGACAAACATAATATGAACACAACTTGTGGCATGACTAGTATTCAGAATCGTACATCCTTATTAGGTAATAACTCGTATGTTATGTACCCAAATATGGTGGAAAAGAATTGTACACGAAAGACGTCAATGACGCAAAGCTACAACAGTGCCACCCAACAAGGTGTTAGGATGGCATCTGCAACTATGGTACCTATGCGCAAACAGTCAAAAGGTATGGTTGTTGCTATAATGTGATATCTATCATTTTAAATTATTAATAATAAACAGTTCTCCATTGTGGAAACCTCTCAAATGATTTAACAGATAGTAATAAAATGTAATATGGCAATAGTTATCTGATTTATGAGAAATTATTTATCATAAAAACTCCTATTAATTTACTGTAAAATTTCTTCTACAAAACATGTTGTAAAACATCACTTTACATTGCCAGTGATTTCTAACCGGAGTTTGCAATACATTGTATACTGGTTAGCAACAATTGCAACAAACATGAACTTCACCCTTTTTTACTTGTAACATAAATGTACATGTACATGTAACTACAGGCATTTGGCAAGGAAAAAATACTTCTAAACAAAGAATATAGATTGATACATTTTCTCAGTCATTGCTCTGACAACTTGATTGACTTTGGCCCCATGTTGTTGAAACGTTGAAATCACAGAATTGTGCTGTTTTCAGTTCTCTAAAATTTTGTCCGCCTCATCTTTTTTTACTAGACCAATGTCTAGAATCAAATTTAGGCATAATGAAAAAAAATTTTGCCTGGTCTTGGGAACACTGGAACAATTTAACATCACTTGTACATTTATGTAGTACCAGCAGCATGGTACACTTGATATATAGAGATGTCATACTACAATCGGGGATCTTGCCAGCCTAATGGGAGTGCTGGTCATTCATGAATATTATACATGTATGTGTCAATGAATATTAATGACTTGGTCACAGTGCAAATAATTTTTTTTATTGTAGTCAAAATATTATGTTTCACAATTTAGAAGAGTTTGAAAATATAAATGAAAAATTCTCAAAATGCAAATACTGCAGACTAAGAACAGCAGCAAATAAATTATTGTTTCAATGTCTATTGTAAAAGGTTAAATGAAATGCATTTGAAATGTTTTAACCAGTAATTTGTTCACAAGTTTCATGATTACTGCAAAAAATCGACCACGTAATTAATTGACGAACTGTTTATTATTTGTACCTTAATAAGCTTCTAAAATGTTTACATTCACAGTAATGAACGAACAAATAAAACTTCCAATTGATCATCAATGTTACGAAATGTGCCTTAGTTTTATCAGGAACAATTATTTTTGATCACTGGATTGCTTCGGTAAAAAAAAAACACAGGCCAATGGGTCAAGAATGCCATTAACTAATCAGAATGCTGCATGGTAATGCAGGTAGAACCCAAAATTTCTCTAATGTTGTTTGGATTGATGTTTCCTTTAACTTAATTTCCATAATAATTTACTTTTTGTCTTTCCATTGTTTTTTTTTTATAAATTACATTGTATTCATCTTATTAACACTTAGAACAATGATTTTAGTTTTGGTTTGAAATTCAAGCATAATAATTGTAGAATTTACACAATATGCATTATGATCACATTTAAAATCATAATAAGATGTAATATATTAAAGTATTATAAAAAAAGTATTATAAACTTAACACATGTAGACATGTAGTAAAAGTGTGGATCACATTCTTTTCACATTGTACATCTCAAATAGCAGACAAATATTAGTTGCTAATAGGCTAAAAGTCTTTTCATCAAAAATTAATGTATTTTACAGTAGATTATATCATGTGCATACTGTGTACGTCCATGCTTAGATTCATAGTGCCAAATGCTCCTCGACTAGTCAGAAAGAACTAACTCCAATATTTTTAGTATTCGGGTGGTACACGCAATGTTAATATTTTTTGTGACCATTTCTGTTTCTTCATTGTAAAAGTCAGCGACGTCTCAATTAATTAATTTCATAATTTTATTTTCCCTCAAATGCGTAATATCCCTCTCAATCTGTCACATGGTGAATTAAAATTGTCATTTGCATTTTTCGAGGGGGATGCTCGGGTAAGCGCCCACCCCAAAAAAAATCATGTTTTTCCCTGAGTTTAGGACACTGGACACTAATGCAATTTGTCTTGTGAATGTCTTGTCTTTGTCACTACAATATCTGCATGTACATTGTAGGAATGCATTTAAAGTGCCTGTGAAATGGCTGCTATTTTCACGCCTAAAATTATCAATTGATACTTAAATATTATTAATTTTTATGTTTCTAAGCATGAATTATTTAAGTGATAAAATGTGTTTTAAACTCAGTCTATGGCAACTTTATTTTTGTGTATTTTAAAACGAGGCTCCTCATTAGCTTCTCATTTGCATACAGAAATTCCCCTTGTGACGTCAGAAGGGGAAGTCACATGGCAGCTTGCAATGCCGATACGTGTAAATAAAGCAAATTTCTTGTGCAGTTTTCTCGTCTTTGACTATATTGTCACTTATGTACTTGGTCGTCGAGGAAGAATGGACCATAATGAACACATAGTATCAATTTTTGTTGCATGGGGTTGAGTTAGATGCGAAATATGTCCGTTCTGGTGTAGCTGGTCACTGTGATCGTCACCGACACCGGCGCACGTTTGTACACTGTTGCTGGACAAAATAGAATTTGACGTCGGAATTATCTCGTTATTTAGCAGGTTACTAGGCTGAGTAAAACTTTCAAAATTAATATAAAAGAGAACATATTTTGACATTCTGAACATTAGACTATAGTGATCACTATAAAATAATTAAAAAAACGACAAATCAGTTACTAAATAAATGACAGCCGCGTGGAAATAAATTGACATTTTGTTGAAGTAGGTGAATGCGTCGGGTCACGGCGTTAAATTGAATAACAAAAATAATCAAGATCGACACACATACAGATAAAGTGGATTCGAGTTAGCTTGATCCATGGCGTGATTGTCATAATTATAACATCGTATTAAAACTTTATTTGCTGGAAAAAACACATTGACCAAGCCTGGTTTCTTATTTTATAAATTATTACGCAGAGCAAGCTGCAAGCATGGAGGTAAAAAAGAACAGAGGTGTGAATTCGACATTCAACACCAATCACCAAACAATTCAGAAACTTTTAGCCTTCGAAAGTGAAAACAGTTAGCAGTGTGAGAAATATCCCAAATTTACTTGGATACGAGTAATCATTTTCAGCAAAAAAATCAATAACTACCCTTTTCAGTGGGACACAGATCTAAAATGGGAAACGTGAGGGTAGGCATTGCACAGGCACTTTAAACTAAGCTTTGGTTGTGGTTGGACACAGTCTCTGAGTCTCTCACCATGGTGGTCTAACAGAGGGACTGTCAGTTGGAAAAAGTTTTCACTACATCAGCTTTTTTTGATTGTTAGATTCACAGCTCATCAACATAATTCACACTATGCTCTTTTTTGGGGGGTGATTGAGGGCATAATTCACTGCTACCTGTATGTTATGTAACACCTGTTATACAGACTTGTTCAAACAATCTTTTTCAAAGCTTCCTCCTATTTGCATGCCAATCAAAGCAGTATTCTAAGCTTTTTGACCAGTTGAAAAGTGTGAATTATGGTACTTACTATGCGACATGGTACATTGCAGAGGCAGTTACAGAAGTAATACAACCAGGAGAGCAGACCAGATTGAAGCCACAGGACGCCATGAATGACAGTTTAACCAATATTACATGGTTGGGAGGTGCAAGTGTTAATCCTAACTTAGAGATAAAAGTTGAAAATGAACGATCAAAGGTAATGGTAAGTGACAATATTGTGATACTGGAATAAATTACTTCTAAGTTAACAAGTCAATTCACCCGATTTACTCATCACTGTATCTTCTCTGAAATCAAGGTGTAGCTAATCAATGAAAAGTCAAAACTTGCATTCCACAATAAGGTTACTGACACTACAGCTAATAGTTAGTCGGAACATGGAGCTAAAAAAAGAAGGAGAGAGGACCCTATTGTCTTTCCTGTGTACCACGTTAGTTGGTTCTTGTTTGCTTAGCCAAAGATAAACAATCTCTTCCCTGTGTCTGTTTAATC